GTCGAAATTTGTCCATCAGAGAATGGCATGGCAAGCAGAGCTCGGCCGGGCCCCATACCAAAGCGTGTCATGCTCTCCCTGTTACGGACACACTTTTACCAGGAACAATCCAATATTGCGACTGATGGCCACCAAACCCTTATATCGAGCCGTCGTCTTGATATTCCTGATCAGCCCCTACCTGTCTCTTCCGATACAAATAATACCTACCACCTCCGGGTTCGATATACCGGCACCCTCGCATCAGACGAACTTGTGGCTCAATTAACCTCGGGCCACAGAGAGGAGGGGAAGGTTGGTCAAAAACTACCTGGCAAAGACGAATTCATTCAAGCGCTTAACATCATCATCGGCCACTATCCCCGGTACGCCTCTTCCCAATTTGTTTCAGTGGGCTCCAACAGGCACTTCGACATAAACGACAGGCCGATCAGCCTGGGAGCAAGCCTGAACGTCTTGAGGGGCTTATTTGTGTCGGTTAAAGTCATCGATAATCGGTTATTGGTAAACATCCAACCAAAGTATGTGGCATGCTACGAGGCGCAACCCCTCGACCGGCTAATAACGACATTTTTGCGCGACAAGGGCCCCGATATGGGCCAGCTAGCAGTGTACCTGCGAGGCCTGCGCGTTCAACTTCTTCATCTCAGATCGAAGATGGGGGGCCGGAGATCTCTGCCACGGATCAAGACGATTTTCGGGCTGGCGATGCCAGGGGACGGGAGGAACATGGCCTATCCTCCCATCGTGCGCCGTCCTGGTAGTGGAGCTCAAGATGTTCTGTTCTTTCGACAGAATAGCTCGAACTCGCAACCACGGATTAGAAGTCCAATGCGAAGGAAAAACGCGACATCGGAAGGCTATACGACCGTGTCGGAGTATTTTCAGGAAGGTAAGTAAAGCCGTGACGTCCGAAGCTCACCGAACTCAGCTGATCGCTTGAGACGTCACAATAGCACACGGGATCATCCTGCGCGATCCGTACCTCCCTGTTGTCAACACTGGGAGTAAGGCCAATCCATCATATTTCCCTCCGGAGGTGTGTTGGGTGGTGCCTGACCAGCTGTCGCGAACTCCACTTAGTCGCTTGCATACTCGTCAATTGCTTCGAATGATTGAGGGTAATAGCGGCAAGGACGGGGCTTTGAGAAAAAACGCGAGCTGGGACAGTCTGCATTGGCAACAAGGGCTGACAAGGAAGATCGAACGGCTTTTAGGGCCGCCTGATGGTGTGGCATGCTTGGTAAGTGTTGATTATAGTATCTTCTGGTATGTTACAAGCTGCCGTAATGCTGACAAGTATCACGCATCTTCGATTACCAGCGTTCTTTCGGATGCTCCGTGAATGAAACCATGATCACTGTACCTGCCCGCAAACTCTCCGCGCCAGCGGTACATTATGGTCATGGAAAGGAGATCCTGACTCAGGCAGCCACATGGAATCTACAAGGGGTACAATTCTTGACACCAGCACGCGTCAGATGTTGGACTGTCATGTCGATCGTCAGCCGTAAGCCAACGGCAAAATATGATCCACGGTCGATAGAACCCGCCCTGGCCGGATTTCGCGACAAATTAATCGCCCTTGGCATTGCAGGCTGCCCGCCCCACGAGCCCGGCGTTGAAGTTGACATGTCAGCTTTGGCGACATACCGAGAAGGCCCTACTGGTCCGCGGGAGCAAATGCACAGATTTCTCCGTGCTTGCGGGGCTCAGGCCCGGCAACATGAGCCCAAGTCCTTTTTCATGCTAGTCTCTCTTCCAGAGCCGGACGAGACTCTTTACAGTCTGATCAAGTACCTGTGTGATGTCCAGTACGGTATTCCTAATATTTGTGTCGTAGGTGAGAAGCTCATCCGGGCAAACGACCAGTTTCTCGCCAACCTCGCCCTCAAAGTCAACCTGAAACTAGGGGGCTGCAACCACATTCTCAAGAGCCTTGGCACGAACCTAGAGCGAACTATGGTGATTGGGGTAGATGTGTCACATCCAACGCAAGAGTCTAGCCCCTCCATGCGACATTCAGCGCCCAGCGTGGCGGCCATGGTGGCCTCTGTCGATGGTGGATCCCTGTCCCACTGGCCAGCTGCGGTCGCTGTGCAGGAGTCACGGCAAGAGATTGTGACTGGTATAGACCGGCTACTGAGATCGCAGCTACGTCTGTGGCAGGAACACAACAATGGCAATCTGCCAGAGAACATCTTGATCTACCGCGACGGCGTGTCGAAGTCGCAATACAAAGCCGTCCTCGACATCGAATATTCCCTTCTCCGCAAAGCATGCGACGAAATATACTGTACTGGGCCAGGGGCGAATCCCCACTACACTCAAGGTTGCAGACCCGACCGAAAACCGCACATATCGATCGTGATAGTGGAAAAGCGCCATCATACGAGGTTCTACCTCGATCAGGCAGGCCCGCGGAGACAGAATCCCGGCAATGGCACCGTTATCGATCGTGGAGTGGTCGACGACGGACTATGGGACTTTTACCTCCAGTCGCATACAGCGGCGCGCGGTACTGCCCGGCCTGGCCACTATGTGGTCATTTATGATGAAATCTTTCGACGCTATCAAGACGGGGATGACAAATTGTCTCTTGTGCCGGATGATCTACAGACGCTAACGCACAGTCTGTGCTACGGATATGGTCGGGCAACCAGGGTACCTAGCGTGGTTCCGCCAGTGGTCTATGCAGATCTGGTTTGTTCCCGTGTGCAATGCTATCTCAGCTACCTTCGGGACCAGGGACAAGAGGCACCTGATCGGATTGACCTCCATCCTGTTGTTCGAGATACCATGTTCTATATTTGAGGTCTCTGTGTGGCGGGGTTGTTGTTCTCAAATGAACTTGGGATCTTAGGCAGTTTTGCATAACGTCGCAATCAGGAAACGGGCATTTCCCCAGGGCAGGGAGATGGTAGTCACTTCTATACTTCGTATATTTAAGCGATGGGTTGCAGTAAGCAACTAGTCGTGCTGTATGCCTAATCTACTCCACCTATCAAACATGTTAGTCCGGAATAAATCAAGTTTTAAAATAACGTGGAATAATAACTAAGCAGGGCGTTCAGTCTCCTACTTCGATGGAACCTCGTGCTTCCGCACCCAGTTTCCACGCGCTCAAAGGCAACGCTCTTTCTTCCTGCTTGCTGAAAGACAGAGAGTCTCGAGAGAGAATCTGCAGAGGTATCTGTAAGAATATCCGCATGAGAACAGCAAGGCAACCAATGAGGAAACCAGGATTGGCAGGCAGGGATCAAAGCTCTGAATCGACAACAGTGTACATTTTGCGCGAATGAGAATCAAGACTGACCTTTCAAAAGTCCATATATTGGCACGAATATCGGGCTCGAACGGTCGAACTGCGTAACTTGACACATATGAAAAACGCCGTGAAAACCCCGAAACTCAATATGACAGGGGCTGGCTAATTGGCGGCGAAACTGTCGCCTAGGCATCCCCTACGGTCTAACCCCCTGCCCCAAGCCCCACAACGCCGGCTAACAGCTCTGCTAAGACATCTCGGCATTTGAACTTACATCCCGACATCCCGCTCGTAGTTAAAACGCCATAACCCATCGTTGTTCGGCTGGGCTTGGGGCTCTGGACTTGGTAGTCACTTAGGGCAATTTTTCTATCATATAACCGGGAAATCGGCACGACCACTCGTCATGGGACAAGAGGCACAAAAATCACCGCCCAGAAAACACGATGGGATGTCCAATGTACTTTTGTCGGAAGTGGGGGCAGCACTCCATACATGTGCTTACATATGCAATAATCCGTAACTAACTAACTAGTTATGGTCCAAATATTTGTCATGCCCCAAGACACTTTACCATTGAGGAAATCGGCACATTGCTTCCAATAGGTGTCGTGCAACTTGTCAGAATCATTCAGGTCTATGTTTAATGGTTTGCTGTGCGCAAGGTGTTTCTCGGACGTACATAAGACGTCTCTCCCTAGCCAGGACATACTGACAGGATAGAACCATACATCTGGAGATAGGGGCTGGCGCAAGCATGATACATTGCGGAAGTAAGGCTTTGTTGAAAGATGTCCATGAGCATCTCCTGGCTGGCAGTGATGGCCAGACAGTAGATATAGGTATAGCGAGTTTCCCAGAGCTCTGATGGGCAATATCTAGAAGGCGTAACGAACTTTGGGGCAAGCTTGTGCACAGCCTATCTCTTCATTTTATTGGCCTGGGAACTTGGTTACCTGTGAACACACCTGCAATTGATTGGCAGCAAGCCGGCGCCCAATGCAGAGCGGTTTAACCGCCTTCATCAGTCGCTTTGGGAATTGGTGGTCAAACAATCAAATTCCGTGATGTAATGTAAGCCAAGGGCGAATCATTTTGCTTTAAGGCCCCATCTCACGTTGTTTTTCCTAGTAACTGCTAATGTTAGTGGCTTAGTGCTAGTTTTATCCAAAGCAACGTTTGAATTAGAAGTATATCATGTAAAGCAATAATCAGGGGTTATGCTTAGCATTAAAGGCATTGACCTAGCGTATAACTGAGCTGGTTTACTTCGATGGAATATGAGATCAATTGGGATATGCTACAATTAGCGCATGTGTTGTTGCCCAATAGCCCAATGATCCTTTTTAAGTAGTTTGCTATTACCACGTGATGTATCTAGGATTTCCCGCCTTGAGAGTCAATCCCTCGCAATTTGAATGTTCCCGCAAGACTCGTTTGATATGGCGCACCAAAGAGCCAGCAACCTGAACTAGAGAGAGATACCTTCTCTTAAAGAGCATCCCATACTGCACGCTGTATTCCAGACGTGGCTTCTGTATTAGGTATGGCAGATTGTAATTTATCCAAATGTTTAATTGCACTGGACTATATTTAGCCTCTCGCTCTATGGCTTGCATCTGTCAGGACGGACTGTCGTCACCAAGGTATATTTTCGATCGGTTATAACTGCAGCAAAATCAGCAGAGTTCCCAGCCTGCTGCTCTTGGGAGATTATTGATCGACTGACCGTTTACCATTTATGATCTGACTGTTGTTCTAGAAGATGTTCAGGATATGCATCGGCGGCCAATGGTAGAACATCTTCCATGAATTCAAACCTCAGATCGGAGAAAAAGTTCTGGCTGGCAAGAATTGGTGGGACTGCCGCATTTGACACGTTTTGCAAAGTCCAGTCAGAAACGCAGGTTTGTTGGTAGGGCCCGTAACCCAGAAGCGGTGGTTGAGTGGCTCCTGGGAACAGGTGGCCGGTGCCGCCAATGGTGGATAGGTCCTGGGCAAAAGCATGTGGTGGCACAGTATTGTACAGGGCATCGAATGAGTAGCCCATTGGGAGACTTGGCACCTCATTAGGGTTGACTGATGGTGGTGTGTTGGAAGCCATAGTGTTTATCCCGAGACTAACATGGGGCTCTGGAAGTCCATCACTAGGAACAATGGGTGGAGGGCTGCGTTGTGGTGGCTCGATTCGTCTTTGATGAAGGCAGTCCCGCTGGTGTTTGACCAGAACAGATCTGCGAGTGAACCTATGTACGTGAGGCAATGGTCAGTAGCAGTCCCATAGGCAAGACCGGGTAGAACCTATAAACCAAACCTTTTGTAACATTGTCCAATCGAGCACAGGTATGGCTTCTCTCGTGTATGAACACGCAGATGACGGGCGTATGTGGACTTCTAAAGTGCAAATGGATGTCTTAGATTCTCGGAGCCAACACTAATGAGTCTGATTCTTGATAGACACAATATTCATTATCACAGGGCATCTTACATCGGCAAATGCTCTGTTACACCCCTCTGCCGCACAAAGAAAAGGTTTCTCTCCTGTATGCGTCCGAAGGTGGATCGTGAGTGCTGTACGCTGGTTGAATCTTCGTTTGCAACCGGGTATTGTGCACTTGAATGGCCTTTCGTTTGTATGAACTAAATGGTGGCGAGACAAGTCGGCGCGACGACTGAATGACTATAATAAGAGGGATGGTTATTACCCTAAGCCGGATTTGTTTAAGCTTGAAAACTCACCTTGTTACACTCTGGATATGTGCACTTGAAATCTCGGTCTGCTGTTGAACTCATTGTTGGTCAGACGGACGTACTAATATAACTCCGCCAGAGTATACCTTGAGCACATCCTAGGTCTGCGCATTAATGGAATCTTGGGGTTGGAGGGGGATGCATTGTCATTAAACCCGACCAATATGTGCCATACAGAAGGGGTCAGTCATTCTGGAAGTGGAACGAGAACGAGATTTCGCCCTGGTGACACAAGTTGCCTTACTTAGTATAGCTACTACTAGTCGTTCTGCAACCAGTAAACACTTATTCCGGACCCTCCCTATGAATACATGCTTTGGTGCGGAATTTGAAGAGTGACCACTTTGTGAGCAGTTATGCTTGGCTCTGGGGAAGAGGTACCTGACAAAATACATATCGTGGACGTAGCTACATGATCTACATCAGGGATATTCATTTATTAACGATATTTGTACAGCAGGATGCCAAACCGACTTGTAAAACTTAAACTTTCCATATAGTGGTGGAATAAAGAAGACGGCTTTGATAATGACAGGCATAATGTAGATTTTCTTAGGGATTGTGCACGGTCGACAAATTCAGGGTCCTTCCCAGAAGGGATAAGCATATTTTGCCTCTGTGCTGTTAAGAAGCTGGCGCTGTGCCAATGCGCTCTAAGTCCCCTTTCCATGTCACATATGAGACAGTCAGTGCAAGGCTAAAGTTTTATTTACACCAATAATCCATAAGCCGAATTCCCTTACAGTCATGTAGAAGGGCCGTAGTTGCTGAAGGCGCCAGACGGGACCAGCATAGTTCAAGACTGGCAGATGTTATAGGAATACGTAAGCCCATTGCGATTTTTGGAATGATACGGTAACTTATGTTTCTAAATTAGCCTATTTCTTTGTAACATGCGAGCAATCCTTGGGACATTTGACATTTCAACAGCATCCGGCCTCGCTTTGCGTGCATGAAATGGGGCGAAGATCCAGTATGGACACGGGAAGACGTCAATTTCATACCGGCCTTGACTGATGATTCATTTTCTTAAAGAAGCAAATGATATTTCAGCCCTTCGACTGGATTCCAGTTATCTGCATTACCTTTTGGGTAATTAAGGGGAGACTGACTGTCATCATAATTAAACTAATGCACACGTTGCCTCCAGAATGATACATTTAATGACATATGTGACTAAACAAAGGCATGATGGCTGCCCAGTAGGATAGACCTCATTTTGGCTGGGCAATTATGTGTAATATGGAGTGCAATGCCTGTGCTATGGTCATATTCTGCTGTGACCATGAACCCGTAAAATGATATCTTTGTTGCCTTTTCCTTGCGTAGAGCATTTATCACACCCTATGATGCGCCGCTATGGTCATGTCAAAACACTCTTTGAGTCTACTATCGAAAAAGATCTAGGCTATCCGCTCGGTGCTCAGGCCATTGTATACAATGTCCCCGCAGAAGTTCTCGCATGTCTCCGGGTTTGCTACAAAGGTCCCTTATGACAGAAATAGAGTTAGTGGCTATTTCTTTTTTCTCTTTTTTCTTTTTTCTTTTTTCTTTTTCTTTTTTTTTTTTTCCATTTGTCATTTCGCTTTCACCTTTCTTTGGCCGTTTCTTAATGGATGACCGCTCTGACAAGTCTCTCTCTTCAATAAGCCTTGCGTTCTCCTCTTCTTCCCGTTTTTATGTGCTTCTCGCAAGAATTAGAAGAGTTACTGCTCATTTCCAGTTATGTCTTAAAAGATATTGTTCGTTAATATGCTATCTAGATTTAATTACAATTATGACAGTTATGGTTCTGCGGCTTTCTGACAGTCGTTAGACACTGATGTCCCTGACTGCCGACATCTAGTTTATACGTACCTTTTAACCCACCTTTGCTATGTATCTACTCTCTCTCTTCGTTTTCTTTCTCTATCCAGACATGATTTTCTGATTTGAAAGCTACGGAGTTCGTTTCCAATGATTCGGCACCACCAGATATTCTATGGTGGATAGGGTAGATGAGTTCAACCTCTTTACCACTTTCCAGTACGCTCATTTCAACATTGAGGCTATTAGAGATTTATCAGTTATTATACTATTGATAGTTCCTTGCTACTATGTCTTCTACTTTTCTCACTTAGTGCTTTTGATGGTGCCAGTGAGCTGTACCCCACAGGTCAACGCTCTCCCCACATTTCATTTAGGATTGATGATCATCGGAGGCTGCTGAATGACAAATACTGTGTTCCAGAAAGAAAGCATTAATAAAAAGGCTAGGGCTTTATCGTCCCACAGGGATCATGCCTGTTGAACCTTGCACCGGAAGCAAGATGTCAGGCAACTTCTAGCAACCATAGGGAATAAGACTGCACAGATTCAAAAGCAACAGTAGTTGGCATTAGTACTGGTGTTGGACTAGGCGCATGTCTCATAACATTATTAAGAGCCATGTGGTCCTAAAGACAGAGGCACTAGTAAAAGCTACAAGAGAAATAATAATTCACAGTAAACTGTGTCTTAAATACTTAACTATATGCTATTCCTGCTAGTACTATTATTATACCTGTGGCAGAGCTTCCCTCAACCAACACTCCCAGAGTGTTTGAGATGGGCGCAGGAGGGCAATCTTAATCAGTCTATATTAAGTAAGATTATTTCTTAAATAAGCTATTCATGTGTATATATCCAACAGACTTTCTGTAAATATCATCATAGCATAATATTACCTAGTGGGGTACTCTTCGGTACTGCTATGCTGCACGTAAGGCCCACTTATCCTTCCAGCAGGACATGTCCGGCACTTACTCGCAGGTGGAAAGTCATCCAAGCAGGCTTCTGGTTACGAGGAGACGGAGGATCTGCAGAGATAGCAATACACTGGAAAAGAGTTAAGAGTTGGCCATGAACTGCAACCCCACGATGGCGGACAGACAATCCTTGAACAACACTTATCCTCACCCTCGTATCATTGAATTATCCACCAGTGCTTGCCGCACAATTCCATTATCTTCGGACGCCAACAGTGTCATGCGGTGCTCTGCAATTTGCACGAACCTTATCAACCCCGCAATCAAGGGGTAATTGAGGCTATTCAGCCTGTTCCAGCCGGTTCCTGGGAACTAGCCTTACCCCCACGGCATTTTATCCGTGACTCTAATCACCGAAGTCGCAAACGGTGTTTCATCTGAAGAGTAGCGCTGACTCGCTTCCAGTTTCAAGTGGATTCCGTGCCATTAAATGTGGAGTCCCGATTCTGGCTGGCTAAGATATTCAAGCTTTACCCAGCCGAAGCCTGATTCTATTTTCTCCATGGAGCCAATTCGTCATAAGGCTGTGTCAGAAAATCGGGGCTTCGTCCGTGACAAATCCAGCGGGATTTACACGATCTGCATATATATAAGAAGCCATAACTCCCTTCTACCTTCATAGCTGGGATAGGACAATAAGGCAACGGCAAAATGACTCTCCTTCTTCTAGCTAGCCTGGCCGCTGCGGCCAACGCCCTGACGGCCACTGTCAACATAGGACAGATGTTCCAAACCATGGATGGGTTCGGCTTCTCACAGGCCTTCGGCCGCGCCAACGACCTGTACAATCTCAATTCGGACCAGCGCCAATACGCCCTGGACCTCCTCTTCAGCCCCACCAAGGGAGCAGGCATGACCATCCTGCGCAACCGCATCGGCTCTGGTAGCAGCGACAGCATTTTGCCAAATTGACCAGGCTCCCCGAACGCCACGCCGCAGTATACGGATCTCGGCACAGACTCGAACCAGGTGTGGGTGACGCAGCAGGCCGTCAAATACGGGGTGAAGACCATCTACGCGGATGCGTGGAGTGCCCCGGGGTTCATGAAGACGAACAACGACCAGGCCAACCGGGGCTATCTCTGTGGAGTCACTGGAGCGAATTGCGCGAGCGGCAACTGGACCCAGGCATATGCAAATTACCTGGTCAAATATATCCAGGACTATGCGGCGTTGGGACTGGATATCACGCACGTGGGCTTCCTGAACGAGCCGGATCTCACGTATGTCTCCCTTGTACTTGCTCAGCAGCGGTGTCAATACTGACGATATGTAGGACAGCTTACTCCTCCATGCTGTCGGACGGGATCCAGGCCGCAGACTTTATCAAGGTGCTGCACCCGACCCTGCAAAAAGCAGGCCTGAGCCGCGTGGGCATCAACTGCTGCGACGCGATGGGCTGGACCGCGCAGAAAACTCGCACCGCACAACTCATCTCCGCCGGTGTCGAGAAGCTCCTCTCGCGGATCACCTCGCACTCGTACGCGTCTGATCCGACCAGCTCCATGGGCGCCTCCATCCCCGTCTGGCAGACCGAGAACGCGGATCTCTCCGACGCGGGCACGTGGGAGACGACCTGGTACTCTAATGGGGGACAAGGCGAGGGTTTCACCTGGGCGCAGAAGATCTACACTGCGATCACGCAGGGCGGGGTGAGCGCGTACCTGTACTGGGAGGGCTTCGAGAAGGCCACCACCAACTCGTGCCTGGTGATTACAGATGGAACGAATATCATTCCTTCTGGGCGATTGTGGGCGTTTGCGCAGTGGAGTCGGTTTGTACGGCCCGGCGCGGTGCGCGTGGCCGTCTCCGGGTCCACTTCGACGCTCAAGATGACTGCATTCAGGAATACGGATGGCACTGTTGCGGTGCAGATGATTAACAGTGCGTCTTCGGCGACATCGGTCACCGTCAATGGGTTCTCTGCTGGTTCTGGCAAGGCATACCTCACGGATAACAGCCACAATAACATCAGCGGGACCAGCGTGTCGCTTAGTGGAGGAGCGGCCACTGTCAATGTTCCTGGATATGCAATGGTGACTGTGGTACTATCGTAGGAGACACCTCCTCCAGGAAGACTACGACTAAGACTGTTCCTTGACTACCGTCGCGGCGCATTGTGCTCAGAGTGGAGGATAAGGATGGACGAGCATACCTTCCAGGTGCAGATCGCGTGTTATTCCCAGCGTTTTAATTACTTCAAGTACTTTCAATGATTCGATTTTAGACGGGCTACTTGGTAATATACAGTCGAAAGAGGCTAGACCCTGACCTGAGATATCACAACCATAGTTGAGCCTTGAAGTGAGACATTCTCAGGTAACCTTCTTGTTCTTGAAGCTCCCTCGCGGAAGTCTATGACTCCTGAAGATCAGTTTTGATTCATTTTACATCCGCCTATTCTATAACGTAATGAATGAACGATAGACCAGATATTCCCCATCTAAATACACCTTTTATACCCATAAAACATTTCACTATAATCGAGCAAGACCAGCTTACTCTTCTCTATCCTTCTTGGTAGGAACTTTCCAAAAAAATGAAGGTCACCAATACAGGCCAGTGCGAACGATGCCATCAACCCAACGTAACCGTAATTCCCGCAGTAGCCGAGCAGCTCTGCGTCGCAACATCATCCGACTCCTGATACACCTCGCTGCAGTCACTGTCGCCAGCCGCACAGGTCACGGATGAGCAACTCGAGTCAGTAGGTGTAGCCGAGAATCCCTCTGTGATGAATTCCGAGTCCGAGTCCATGTCAATTGCGGACAAGTCCCAGTAGAGCGTGTCGCTGTCCTTGGTATATTCAAACTGGAGGACACTGGCCTCGCTCACGGTGGTGGCCATCTTGATGGAGATTCCGCCGCCGTCGGAGTTGGTCTGGTAGGTCTCGGAGTACGTCTCACCGGAGGCGATGGTTTGCATGGCGCTGGAGGTATCGGAGGTGGACCACAGATAGACGGTGGTGTCGAGGTTGTTTACAATCTGGACGCTGCCGCTGCCGCTGCTGCTGCTGGTTGTGGCGCTGGGGCTGGCACTGGTGCTGGCGGAAGTGGAGGTAGTGCTGATGCTTGCGCTGGAGGTGACAGTTGCATCAGGCCTAGTCATGCTGCCACCAGGATAAAATTGCGGGAGGGCCGAAACAGTCAGCGCAAAGGCTGCTGGGAAAAGGATTTTGGAAAAGAACATGCTGATTACCGATTGACCGATTTAAAGGAATGTTAGGTTTAAGGAGAGACTGTGGCACAATGGCAATTGATAGTAGAAAGGAGAGTGCGAGGATCAACCTCGTCTAGGGAATGAATCTGTAAAGGGAATAAAGCTGTAAGGACTGCTTGCTTTGCATGGGCAGTCAACAGGGTCGTGGCATGCCCCTACTATATTTATATCCCATGGTGGAGCAGGGGTGCCGCGAACACTTGATCAAAACGGTCAGCGCATACACGTGGATAGCGTGATAGCGTGTTTGGGCCCTGTTCTCATCGATCGGGTCCATTTTGATCGTGAGCGGAGGTTACGACGTTCTGTAGGCCGCATCTACATCTGTCGAGGCTGATGCTGTTCAGGACATGATACGAGGGCTAACACAGCCAATTGAATGGGGAACTGACACAGCACTAGCGCCGTTCTTAAGCGTCTGGACTAATAATACAGCGTGATTTGCCTTGATTATCCACTGTGGTCTCGACTCTCGAATCCAGACCTTTTTGCGGGTCTCCACTTGGTCAATTGGCGTGACTAAAATCGTCAGCGCATTACGCACGCAGGAGAGATGCTCAGACATGGCGCTTTTAGGACTCGCCAGTGTACCATCGGGTATATAGTTCTCTGCCAGGTACTCATGGCACAAGAAAAAGACCGAGTATGGCTCATCCATGGTAGTGGCGCAGTCGTCAGCACGTTCATCATCTGAAGGACTTCGTAGCCAAAGCGAACCTTAATTTCCCACGCAGGTCAACTATTTCATTCGCGGATTCCAGAACAACTGGTTATCCTGCCTCGCAAGTTAATCTTGATTTGCTTGAGACGTCAGTTCACCTCTTATAACTACCCATACATTACGGTAGACTCTCAATCAGCCAGCCCTCACTATCAAACGGCGGATACTTGGAGAAACAAACTGTCTCAATATTGGGTAGTCAAATTAAAAATTAATGAGCCTTATCCTAACAGATTAACACTATCACTTTTGCGTGATTCACCTATACTAGAATCGTGGGACTATCAGCGCAATCAATCAAAGCACACATTCCATATGAATTCAAAGCGACGAGTCCAGACTTCAAGGCCTTCAAGTACAGCAGTACGGCGAGGACAAGTCAATCCTGAAACACCAATAATTAAGCTGTCATCTGAGCAGCCGGTTGGCCATTATCTGCTGGCGCATCGGCAGGAGCACGGCCAGCCTCGGGATGGGGAGGTTTCTCGGCATGTGTGCGCGTTCCCACTGGTCCCTCCCTTCCACTAAAGTAGAAATTGAAGATCTCAAAGCACATGGCACAGAGAGTCCAGAAGCTGCACACTTGAGTTAGCACGCTTGACTGCACTCCACACATCAGCTATCAACTTACAAAGCCAGGAAGGAGAAGGCTTCGGCAGTTCTCTTGCGGGTGCAGATGCTTGAGACACCCAGAGCGAACCATCGACAGCTCTGCCCCGAAACGTGCTGGGCAAGGAAGATGAATGCTGCAAGCCATCTGTTCATTACGCATTAGTACTCACGTCTCAAGAAACAGGGGGAGCATGTAAGCGTACAAGTAGGAAAAGACAATGTCCAAGGGCAGCATATATCCGCGGTTACGTTTCATAGTTGACACTACCAACGCAGGAATGTAAAACGCTGTTGTTAGCACAGCCTGCCAGAGTCAGAAACCCTATTTCTTATCACCTAAGCACGATAGACGTACAATCACCAGCGGATAGATCACTCGGTAGCCATGATTCTTGGTCACGGCCCAAGCAGTGACGCCCATGACGATGACAGCACTCAGCCATGCGAACAGACGGGCGACGAAGAGAAACGGGCGGAGCGCATCTCTTGAAGTCCAGGCCATATTGGACGTTGTTGGTGCGTGCGGTCAGCTCGGTATTAATAGAATATGGGAGGTCTGCAGCTTGTGTGCATATTTACATCCATCACTTCCAGAGCTCCTTTTTAACTATTTTGGCTGTCCTGGGGTGTGGCTCGAGGCCCGAATGTCATGAAATCATCGACCGGGATGGCTGAGAACCATTGGCCGAACCACGGTTATGCGACAGCAGCTGGAGTCTAGCATCACATGTGTCACACGATCAGCATATCATGATCAAATTGATAATCGATGATGTCTGGTCCTGGATTCATTGATTACATCAAGTATTATTCAGTGGCATACTACGTATTGTGTAGCGCCCCGGATGTGGTACCTTTTTTGCTGGTGCTCCTACCCGAGAGACGGAGAAACTGAGAGTGATGCTGAATGGACGGATTAGGAATATTCAATGGTTTAGTATATTAATACTCATGCTGTACATAGTCTCTGCAGATTTGTAGATCTGTAGATGATCCATATCGCCGGCACGACCACACCAAATGAGCAGGAATACCACGGCAATTGCGTACACGGCCGGCGTTTTAAGTCCAGTCACGGACAACATTCACTTCGTCTCCCACTTCCATGTGCAATATTCTGATGTACAAAGGTAAAATCCACAAAATTGAACTGATACTAGCCTTCTCCAGAAGAGTCACAAAAAATGAAAATTAAAAAATGGTCACTACGAGGGTCGAACTCGCGACCTTGGCGTTATTAGCACCACGCTCTAACCAACTGAGCTAAGCGACCAGTTGTTGGAAGAAGCTGGCTTATTGTCGTTGACAAAGCAAACAGGTGCCACATTTTGTGTTTTGGTATTTGTCTACTACGTACGGACGAGATGATCATGCTCAAATAAAGACTCATCTGGCTCAGCCCTTGGTGTTTCTTTTAAGATGATGTCTCCTGCACTGGCCCTATTTATCTCATTTAGTAGCGGTTGACTGTGGGTTGTTGGTGCCTGCGCGACGTCACGGAAGGTACAATATATTTAGTTCGAAACATCCCTCGTGGTATCACCAACCACTATCGACTTTCTCCTATCAAAGGGGATGTCAAAAATAATGGGAGATCTTAAGGAAAGCCATAGGCAGACTGTTCGTTGTATAGGGACTTCGACCATTCTATCCACGAAAATGAGGTGGCTGAAGTACACCTTCCAAAAGCTAGATGCACACACACCTCTGTAGTCTGTACATTCGATTTCCTAATTGCTCGGCTGGTATCAGTTGCCAAGCTGGAATACCTTGCCTGCATCAAAAGACTTTCGAGGAAACATCAGATAGCCCTTCTGATTGGCCAAAACGACCTTGTCTCTCTCATCCGTGAATTGACAGTTATAATGAGTATGACCGAAAGCCCAAGCTTTGACGGCCGTGGACGTCCAGCATTCCTCCGAGGACAGATCTGTCATGAAAGCTGAGGTCACATCGCTATGTTTGTGCCTGCGACTCATACAGCGCGAATCCATGGATGGGCAGTGATGAGTGAAAATGAAGATCTGTCTTTGTGGCTCCTCCTTTGCAATCTTGGATACCTCGGCATTTAGCCATTTGACGTCCGACTCATGAGCGAGGTTATGGTCCTCCACGGTCCAGCGAAGGATATCTTTGAAATCAACCGCTCGGGACTCGACGGAAAACTCCTGCTCCGGAGTGACATGAGAGAAGAGGGTACATCCAAGCACAGTATGCGTATCCGAGATGTCGTAGCGAGTCTGGTCTAGAAAGACGAAGCGTCCAACTCTGGAGGAAGAGAGCCGCGCCTGTTCCATCTTTGCCTCAAAGGCTCGTATCTTCTTCTTCGCCGTTTGGAGTGACATATGGTATGGTTCATGATTGCCAAAAACGAAGAAGACGATCAGATACCGCTGGGTCTGATGTTCGAGGAACTTGAATAATTGCTCGTTCTCTACATGGCCAATATCCCCGAGGAGTGCAAGATACGAAGCTCTGTTCTGGAATTGGAAATCCTCATACGAGGAATGGGTTTCGAGATGAAGATCAGACATGATCTGGAATGACACGGGAGCCATGTTAGTGCCCTTGCAAGCTCATGTAATCAGTGCACATTTGATGTGCTGAGCGGGAGTGAAAGTTGAGTTGCTTCAGTGGTCCAAACGCCATGCCCACGTCATCCAGCAAAGCAGCATATTGTAACCATGGATGGTTTTGCGGATCTCAACCCAGGTTCTTGACACACGTGTGGCATTCCCCAGCAGTAAACCGATGCATATATCACTTCCGATTGAGGATACGGATGACTCCCCTGTACTACGAGAGGAAGTTGAGGAATAGCGACTTTCTGTTGGATCACGTGGCGGGACTCTTTCTTAGTAAGCTCCGTGATTTCGTGTGTTGACACTTGACAGTTGACCTGTGAGACGGCGCAAGAACAACTGACGCTTTTTGATGCATCGCGATCCTACGTCTCGGATCTGAGGAATTTCTCGTCCAGTTTGATGAGCTTTAATGACCTCTATACTCCCTTTACTTGAATCCTATTTACTTGGACCCCAAGCCATGTTTGTATTGCAAGCATGGCATCACTCTTAAACGCCTGGAGAAGCGCCCTTCGTCGCAAGTCCTCAATCTCATCCCCAAAGCCATCCCCCAACGTTTCATATACTACTCTACCGTTAGAAACCCCTATAGAGGAAGAGACTTTACCTCACTATAAACCTGAACATTATTTCCCGGTCCATATCGGGGATGTATACGAGACCAGGTACCAGATCACGGGCAAGCTTGGCTATGGAGCATACTCGACCAGTTGGCTATGCCGGGATCTTCAGTAGGTGTCTTCTCCACGCGCAACTCAGGAAGCTTTGCGTTAAATATTCTCAGGGGCGACAAATATCGAGTACTGAAGGTGTCCACGTCACTACCAACATTTCCTACTGCAAGCGATCGCGAGCTAAAGATTTATGAGCACCTTTCGAAAGTCAATCCTAAGCATCAAGGCCACTCGCTGATTCGCGAGCTGTATGATTCATTTGATCTTCAAGGGCCGTTCGGCAAACACCGCTGCCTGGTGATGCAGCCAATGCATATGACGCTTCTTGAAATGATGAGCCTGAATCCGCGACCTTTTGATATTCCTCTGCTCAAAATGACCGTTAAACGTCTTCTGTTGGCCCTTGACTTCTTGCATACTGAGGCTGAGATAGTCCACACTGGTACGCGGCCTTTCATTGATATAGCTGGGGAGCCCAATACTAAGTATAAATAGATTTGAAGACCGACAATCTAATGCTCACTCTGGAGGACAACACCATGCTAGCGGATTTTGCGAAAGCGGAGGCTGAGGATCCTAGTCCTCAGAAAAAGATTGACGAATCTCGTACCATATACAAGAGTCGAAGATTCCGCCGACCTACCGGAGGCAAAGGTTATGGCCTTCCTATCCTATGCGACTTTGGCGAGGCGCGAATTGGCAAGAGACAGGAATCCGGCCCGTTCGTTCAACCGCACATCTATAGAGCACCGGAGATTATATTTGAAATGCCGTGGGGCAGTGCTGTCGACATCTGGAACCTGGCTGGTTTGGTGAGTACGGCGCTCGTGCATCCGCCTCATGGTTGTACATCACTGATCACTCAGTAGATTTGGGACCTCTTTGAAGGCGAGCATCTTTTCGGGGATATATTTGACATCAAGGGGGGCCACGACCCGTTCAAGCATCTAGCGCTGATGGTCGCCTTGATTGGGCCACCACCGAGTGAATTTGTCAAACGTAGTGAGACAACAGAGAAGTGTTTTGACCCTAGCGGTAAGCGCCGTGCCTTGGAATCAGAAGTATTGTTGGCTTGACTACAGACCTGCTGCTAATGCACATATAGGCGCATGGATTGCATATGAAGATGCAGCCTTACCATTGGTTTCTCTGGAGAGTCTGGAGAAGCGACTTTCTGGACAAGAGAAAGAACTGTATCTCCAGTTCATGAGGTCAATGCTCAAGTGGCTGCCAGAGGAACGCTGGACGGCGCGGCAGCTGCTTGAGCATCCATGGCTGCTCGAGTGATCTTGTAATATCGTTGTACCACTCTTTTTAGCGCCGGCGCTAAAATCTATAACGACAAATCATATTCCCCGACATGATGCAGGAATCGCTTCGGCGCTCTGATTAGCTCGTCTGGTACTGACATGTTGGAGGACGTGAACTCTGGACGCGCATCCGTCGGCTCAGCACCAAGGATTCCTCAGGACTGTAGTTGTAGTATTTAAGTACAGAGTTGTCCCGCCCTTTCTCTGGCTTGTATTGCAAGTCACATAATCACATTCGCTCCAAACTATTGTGTGCAAGGACTATACATTGCCGACTTGTCTTGCAATATTTCGTTGAACACTTCTACAATGTCTACTGTCATCCGCCGCTTAATCTCGTATGTCGGCAAAGTAAGGCCGAGCGATTTCAAAGACCCGACACACATGACTCTTGTCGACAAGTACTGCCATGAGCAGGAGATACGAGTGAGCCACTGCCTGGTATTGTCCGCCAAGCCAATCTAACGGACATTTGACAGGATCCCCGTATCAAGCACGCCGACATCCAAGGTACAGAACTCCACAAATCGCATAAGGACCCGACCGACCCAAAGAAGGTTATTTCAATCCAGTTCCTCGATCAAGAGAAAGAGAGGGTAGGAACGGGACATCGATGGGACCTCCAAGTTTCGTTACAAGAAAAAACCTCCTGCTGAGTCCCCCTCTGCTGGATTTGAGTAGGTCTGAACACATCTCGGAATTACTTAGAGAGGGAAGTCAGTACTATACGGGGCAGTTCTTGCGTCTTTGGGATCTAGGGTAGTGGCACTATGCTCAGCCCTGTTTCACTTATTCTGTGATCAACATACCGTAGTCTACCTACCTAATCTACCAAGGTATCAGTTTCACTGCTAATCTGCCTGCAACATATCTATTCTAAGGTGTGCTCTGTACCTATAACCTTGATTGGGTTGACCAGGGTGATAATATCTCTAAAGTGATCACATTTGCCGCGCGGTTGGGGAGTGTGACATGTGACCTTTATGTTTTTCTTTTCTGTCTTGGTCATAATCCTTTGGTCGTTGATCCTCCATGCCGTGTGGATATACAGCAGCACAGTCGCTACTCGTCTTCATGATAAGAGCACAGTCAGTAAGGCATGTGGCCAAGCGAATGTTTTCCCTTCGCGTCAAACCAGTGCCAATCCCTCCGGCTCAATCCGCCTCCCAAATTCCGCAGCACGAACTTGTTGATGAAGAAGCCTGCCCGGCTTACAACACCAAATACTTCTATACAGCTAAACCCAGAGAGATGATAGTCAGTACTGTGGCGACGTACCAACCGAGCTGCTCTACTGGTTCAACCGGCTGAGGTCCACCGCGATTTGAGTCACCACGGTATACGGTTTGTCGAAGCAAGCATCCCAACGCGTCTCGCCTGAAGCCCAGAATTTTTCCAAGACGGCTTTTGCCGTCAGCGGGACATATGAGCCAATGTGGCGACTCATCTCCGGCAGGTGTTCTCGAACAAAAGCTCTCATCCCTGCGACGCCATTCACAGCTTGCACCCCGAGCACGACCAATTGCCAGAGTGTGAATCTTTTTATCCTTGGGGATGACAGGGCCTCTCTGAGCAGCTTCTGCAGAAGCTGTCCATGGGTGGTACAACTGGCTCTCAGTAAGGGAGTCAGACGCAGAACCGACAGGCTCTGCAGAGACAGGATGCCGTATAATGACACGGCGGCCTGGTACGATTTTCCTACAATCCACCAGTCCTCTTTTGATAACGGCTTGGAATCGGCCCATTGCTCAGGGGAGAAAATATCGATACGGCTGAGGACTGTGTACGCCTCTTGGGCGAGGTCCTCCAGTCGTGCAAGATCTTGTTTCCAGGCTCGCACACGAAGATGATTGATCCTAATAATCTCGGCGAACAGGGGCTTGGGACACATCTGGAAGTCAAAGACTCCATTGCCGAACTCCTCTAGTATGAAGTCAGTTTCCTCAAGGCGTAAAGTAGTTGTTGCCAAGTGCGAAGCGGGCGATGAAGTGTTCCCAATAACTGCAACACTATCTGGCAGTCAGCTGTATGCTACTCCAAAACAAACAGTTTGTGCACAGTAACGTACAACACAAAGCAATGGAGCAGTGGCGCTAAGCTGGCCAACCTGGCCAGTGAACGGATGCCGCCGCGCAGCATGATTAGTTTCTGGAGACCCTCAATGTGGCATTGCCAATGGGGAGAGGTACCTTGCTGAGCCTAGCGAGGCAAAACATGGTTCAGTATCGGTGGATGGCTCTCATACTAAAACTCGACTCACATCAATGAGTAGAAGCGTGATGATTCCGGCAAGGACGGCATCGCCGGTACGCTTTTGTCCTTCATTAATATCGCTCCTGAGAGATTGAATGACAAGTCCCCGGTACCGGTAAAAGGTGACCGCCAGCGAATTAGACTCAAGGTCATTGATGGGGAGCAAGTCGGGGTATATACAGGCGTTAACTGTCCGGGGGTTAGTCTTTTTTTCTAATTATGGTGCTACATAAGGCTTTTACTTGCAGTAATCGGCTGCCTGGGCCAAAACCGGGGCGTCAGTAATGGGCTTGAAATGGGGAATGACGGAGAGCTCTGCCGTGGCCTTTGCCAGGTTCTCTTTCCGATTGCTCGCCTGCTTTCGATTTCGAGATTTTACCCTTCCAGGAGCAAGCCACTTTAACCTGATAGGTTCTGTATCATTATATCCGGGACAGACGATCCCCGAGGTAGAGCACCGCTTACACTGGGGCCGGGTGAAGTCACAAACTAGAGACCGTCGGAGACATTCCCAACAATGGCGCTTCTGATCCTCCATTGTCTATGCGCCTGAGACGGATATGTCGGCAACACGTCGGTGGACATTGGTGATCCAGAAGAACTCAGAACTCTCAGCCCCCTTTTGCGATATGAGTGGTTCTTCTATGTCTTCGAGGCATTGCTCATGCTCATCAACTCTTTCCTATGGAATGTGTTCAATCCGGGTCGCTATCTGCCCAGACACCACAAGGGTTATTTGGCGGCGGATGGCACGACCGAAGAGGAGGAAGTCCCCAATGATCAACATGTTCTGGTTAAAGTTGCGTATGCGGCTGTCAATGGGCTGACATTTGGCCTGTTTCACCTCGCTGTCTCTCAGAAGGACGAAGAGAGGCATCCGCTAACAGAGCGGAATAAGTAGATATCTGCCATGAGTCGTCAGGTTTGAACACCGGCTGGAATACTGCAAGCAACTTTCTGGAAACATCAGTAGCTATCTAGATCTGACACAGAGAGACTACGGGGTGAACCTTGTCGATGACTGTATACATGGATGGGGTGCTTATTTTAGGGTTTAGAAGCCGAGATGCTGGAATGAAAGATAGAGAAGTAAAGGGATGGATTAGAGAAAGTACGAATCGTCTACTTAATCATATATCAAACTACCCGAATGACTACTTTCTGCTATTATTATCAATATGCTGCCAACTGCTGTGGTTTTCTGACTCGGTCTTCTGCCACTAGGGGTTCATGAAACGTCCGGCAAATCCACCACCGGAAATGCTTTAATAGTGGGGTTCACTCCGTGACACTGGCTATTGAAATTGATTAATATTGACTCAGTAGTACGCAGCCATAATCCTCAACTAATCGGGGACAACGATTAAAGTCGAGGGACTCGTATCATCATTCATTCCCTCTTTCTCCCTGGCTATTATACAAGCCACCAGACGCAATTATCTCCTTCATATTTTCGGTAAAAAATAGTAGACTCATAATAACATTGATAATATTAATTCCGGCAGATCATATATGATTACCACTACGAACGGAATATTCTTGGATCAAATGGACAGTAGGTAGTGGTAAGAACTAATGCTTCGGCCGCCGAGCATGGGCATGTCCTTGGAGCCAACGTGTTTCATCAAGAAAGCCTCTTTTCTCTACTCAGTACTAATTCTGAAAAGGGGAATGATTAGAGGATCGAGTGGATCCATCAAAAAAGATATCCATTAACTCCTAGCTGATAAAAGTAGCCTTAGTCTGGGTTACTGCTCGTCTCATCGGTCCTAGATTGTAAGGTTGTAACCAGCCTTGAGACCGTCTCTTCTTCAAGTTTCTTCCCTCTTGGTTGTCAGAAGATCATCATTTTAGCCTGTCGGTAAAAGTATCGCCATGTCGGGCCTGATTCCGTGAAGATTGTTGACTGCCGAAGTTGGGGTAATTCTGCAGCAGAGGAGAACCAACCGCTAGGCTTTTAGCCGCTGGGACAATCTGGGGAAAGCATGACTGCCGAGAAGCAAAGATCATTCAAGCAAAGCTTACTTCCCAGGCTGGAGTGATCATTCAGCTAGGCTATTCGAAAATATGTAAATTTAGCCGAAAAAAAACATATAAGGAGGAACCGTCTCCCGCCTGGGAAACCACTTCGAGAATCATCAGCTTCATCCATTAGAGCCCTGCAAGCAATTCTCAAAATGATCTCCTTTTCCTCGCTTAGCTTTGGTCTCGCCGCTATCGCCGGCGCATATGCTCTTCCGGGTGACACGTCCGTCAACCTGGCGGAACGCCAGACCATCACGTCCAGCCAGACAGGCACTAACAACGGATACTACTATTCCTTCTGGACCAACGGCGCCGGGACAGTGCAATACACCAACGGCGCCGGTGGTGAATATAGCGTGACCTGGGCGAACCAAAACGGTGGTGACTTTACCTGCGGAAGGGCTGGAATCCTGGAAGTGCCCAGTATGTAACGCCAGAGATCTATAAAAAGACACGAAAGTGCTAAATTTCCCCACTAGGGACATTACCTTCTCTGGCACCTTTAGTACCTCCGGAGACGCCTACCTCTCCGTGTATGGATGGACTACCAGCCCCCTGGTCGAATACTACATTATTGAGAACTATGGCAGCTACAATCCTGGCTCGAGCATGACGCACAAGGGCACCGTCACCAGCGATGGATCCACCTACGACATCTACGAGCACCAACAGGTCAACCAGCCTTCGATCTCCGGCACGGCCACCTTCAACCAGTACTGGTCCATCCGCCAAAACAAGCGGTCCAGTGGTACGGTCACCACCGCGAATCACTTCAACGCCTGGGATAGCCTGGGGATGAACCTGGGTACCCACAACTATCAGATTGTCTCCACTGAGGGATACGAGAGCAGCGGTACCTCGACCATCACCGTCTCGTCTGGCGGTTCCTCTTCCGGCGGAAGCAGCAGCAGCTCCTCCACTACTTCATCGGGCAGCTCTTCTACTGGTGGCTCCGGCAGTGTAAGTATTCTTCCATTGGCTGTGGCGTTACGTCTATCTGACCATGAATAGTGCTCTGCTTTGTACGGCCAGTGCGGTGGAATCGGCTGGTCTGGCCCTACTTGCTGCTCTTCGGGCACTTGCAAGGTCTCGAACTCGTACTACTCCCAGTGCTTGTAGCATCTCCTTGCAGGGTATTATGCAGATTATGGGCATATCTGAACGGGTCCCAGAGTCCGATATGGTTCGACTAGGGGAGGTCCTGTCGTTCCCGCCGTCTCTACTATAGTCAAATAGCGATATGAATTAACAGTCTGACTTTTACTTTGAGCTCCTAGGATCTATTTGTACCTTATCAGTAAAGATAGTCTCAATACTGGAATGACCGTATCATCCGTCCTTTTCCACGTTGGTCGGGCTCCTTTGAGTATTATACACTCGCATTATGATTACCTTCACACAAGACAGTAAGATAAAATAAACAAGACGAGTTGCTGTACATGCATCCTTCTCTTCACATCCGCTTATTATATGCGTCCCCATTCTGCTATCAGCCAGCTCCGGATGCGGAAAGATCAAGCAACCCGTCAGGATGCGCCTAAGCGCTCTCATCGCCAACAATAGAAGTGACCAAGCTGCCGATCGGCAACAGAATCATGAAAACGGGGAGTAATTGGCCAAAATCCCAGGATGATGTGAGGCCGTTCTGAAGCAGACTGTAAATCAGAGCACCTAAGCTGAAAGCCCACAACAGTGCCAGCCAGACACCGGCCAATCGCCACGGAAAAATCACCTCCGCAATCAAGGATAGTATCCTTCTTGTCAGTTTGGAATCTGTCTCCACATACTTTTCGATGAAAGATACTGCTGTTTTGAACAGACAACGCTTCGCTATTACGTACGGGTTATACCGATGCCATATAGACCCCGAAGCACCGCTGTGCGACAAAGGCTTCACCAGAGCTAACCATTCTCCGATAAAGACGATATCCTGGGTCGAGGGGGAGACACGGCTGACGATCGTTCTGACCTCCATTGCCTGCTCGGAAAGAAAGACCGGTAGATATGTGAGCAGGTATATCCACATAATGCCAATGGCCTCGATCACAGTCGCTGCATGCCAGAACCTGCTGGCCACGGAGGGCAATTTCTGCGAATCCTTTGGTTTATTAGGCGATAGAATGCTAACCGCAACGACCAGCCACAAGCCGTAAATGATATACATGATCACTACACGGACCGTAGCAAGCTTTCGATGGCGCTGGAAGTAGGGGCGGAGGGAGAGCAGCGTGGCTGCATGCGTGAAGCTGGAGTAGCAGACCACATCGGTCACAGTCCATAGATTGTTGGCACCGTGACGGACGGACGATCCCCAGTACTGAGCATAGCCGCACACGAGCAGCAAGAGGCCGGTTATCAGTTGTTGGTCACTCAACTGAAGCACAAAAGCAGTCAAGACACGTATCCAAAATTCGTTTGAATGCCTAAGTCTTCTGTGTTTTCTGCACTGCTGTTGGTGGGTCGTGGACGCTGTAGGGTATGGACCACGTCTTCGGAGGTAAAGAACGGCATACGAGGCGATAAAGGTCAATATCCCGGTCAATATGAAGCCGCTGATTACCTGGGTCCAGTTAGTACATATCTTATTAAAAATGATTGTGAAACGCACGCCTGCTCCGGCAATATTGGGGTCTGGTTGATATGGGTTCACTCCTGTACAGTCACTCGTGGACTCCATTAGACCAGATACTTGACAAATAAATGCTATAAAGTGGCAGTAAACACTCTGGAAACTAAAAAGTAGTCCATGTTCAATCGAAAAGTAGTCATGTTCGATGCTGATTTGCAATGTATTCTGGGAGATAGAAGGTCTACACTTGAAGTTGTTTATGGGAGACAAGTACGTCGTGATTTATGCAAAGATATTCTCCCCTCAAGGCAGGTTGTGGTGCCTACTGATGTTTTATTATCAACCAGGCGGTGCTGGACAAATATCAAATCGCAACGCGACTTCTGACCTCGTGGTAAAGAAAGGCAAATCATCTTTTGCTGGGTAAGTGCCCGGATATTTGCCCGGGCGTATCTAGGGTATGCACAGCCCCGCCTCTCATAGCACGGCAACTGGCAACTGGCAACTGGCAACTACAAGCGCAGGCCGGTGATTGATCAAGATAAATAGTATCATCTCGGAAGATATCCCCGATTGTTAACCTTAGAAATGATGCTTAAGTAATCTCCTAGAGCTTTTCAATATCAGCGTGAGCAGTGACATTAGAACGAAGAGTTGCAACACCAAAATGTCCATGAAGGTCCTTTTGCGACTTGACTCGACATAGCACTTGATTCAGGGCTACTAAGCTAATAACATAGTGATCGCGCTTTCAAGCCGGGACTTCATTCTAAGCCAGAGCCTTGGCCGCCACTTGCTCCGGAGTCTCCTCTGCAATTCCCAATAAATCCGCGTCTGATTCCTCTCGGGACCGAGCAAGAAGACACCGAGATTGGCCCTCGTCGAACAATTGTGCCACCACCAAGTCTAGAATCCAACCGCTAACACGCTCCTGGAATTTCCGTTTCCCGTTCTCCATGAGTGTTCGTGTGGACGCTCGTTGTACCTCCCACTGTTTCCCCGTCACAGATTGAAACGCTTCCAACAGCTCGTTCTGGCAGGTTATGATGGACTGCGCCTTGACGAAGCGGTTGGCTGTCTCGTCCGGATGCTGCAAGACGCCGACCACCGACAGTCCGATGCCCTCGAGCGTGGTTCCGGTGAACCGTTCGGTGCCAGAGTCATAGATGATGGCCGAGCAGCGCGCTACATCGAAGCCCATCGGGGGGAAGCGTTTCAACGCCTTGAGAGCTGATTAGTCTTGAGGCGAAAGTATGAGATGAATGGCTATCACTCACCCAGTCAATTGGATTGCCAGTGCTGATTCCCGTGTATGTAAAACTGGGATTGCTGTCTGCCTTGGCCTTTGCATGATCCCATCCCGCACGACGTTGCGCATGGATGGCGTCGAACTCGGGGAACGACTTGGGATTGTCACCCCAGCCAAAGTCGTCCAAGATGAAGCGCTTCACGCCCGCAGCCTCGGCGGCGTCGATCATGGTGACTTGCGCCCCGATACCGTTGGGACCCACCACGCAGACGGCTGCATCCTGTCCCGCTAGGGCTGATGTGAGGTTCTCCAGGGTGTAAGTCGTTTTGATAACTGGAATGTCGGAAGGGAACGTCGCCTTCGATTCGGTCCGGCTGATGATCGTCACTGTGAAGCCCGCACGCTGTAGGGCTGCTGTAATAGGGGTGCCAAAGTTGCCAGAGGCCGGTAGGGATGTCAGCAGGGGTGTTTCTCATCATATTGAACGCTTAATAGTCGGTCTTACACCGAAAATAGCGACTTTTTGGATAACAGCCATGATCCACAAATGTGTTCTTGTTTCTGATTCGACTATTGCTGGCTCATATTGATGCTCAAGGTCAAATCAAACCCTGGTGGCCTTTTATAGACAAAGACACGGAGGACAGAGGTCCATCAATTCGCAGGCAACAATCTGACATCAGCACACTCCGTCTTAGCGCTGACCCCGCAGCTAGATGTACCAGTAACTAATATCTTAGTAGTCTAGTGGCATTAGACAAACTTGGAGGATAATGTTGTCTCTTGCGATTATTGATGAGTCTAGACCTGTCGGAATAGATAGGAGGCCCATTTTCTGTCTCTAAACCTCCATGTATTCCATAGCACAGCATGAGATCTGTAGTCTACAGGCATACTTCATATATTACAAACTCCGAGCTTCATAGTATCACAAATGCATCACAAAGTCTATGGAATATGTTCTTTATTATAAATTAATATAGAAATACAGAAATAAGTCTATCTTATCCGTCTATCCATAATTTCACCAGATCTATGTTCCTCCGTTATAGTATAGGATGATCTATTTCAGCCCGCTTGCACCCTTGCATTGCCTCCATATGAGTCAATGTCAATGATATCTCTCGATAATCCCATCGCTCGGACAATTGTAGAGTTGGTGATCGTACGGTCGGAAGCGACGCAACCAAGCAGGGAGAGCTCGTCCTGCGTGATTCGAATGGGGGAGTGCGAATTATCCTGAAGAGCCGTCTCACTCTCATCCGACCAGTTCAATTCCTCATCAAGGCCATCCTCCGCGGTTTCAAAAGAATGGTGATCGGCTATAAATGATGCTTTTTGGATTCGTTCCGGCATCGGATATTTCCTGCACCTTCGCGACCGCAACTTTGCTTTGTCCTGTTGAATGATCGCGTTCTGGTTGAATAGCGATCCTTGAAATACTCCAAGCACAGGCGCTCTCATTCCCTCTCCTGCCACGATTCCGAGACAATATCGGATAGAGGTGGCCGGTTTTGCTTCGGCCGACCGGCTTTGTCATTATGTTGGGTTCGAAACGTCATATTGCCAAGGCATCCTCTCACGCTGCTGCCACAGCCCTGTGGTACTGACTGGCCAGTTCTTCACAAACGCCCCAGATGCGTCGACGGTTCGCAACTCCAATGAGCGCCAGGTCGTCCATGCCGTACCGAGCAGCAGTCATCTTGTCGAGCCACAGGTACAAGCGCTTGTAGTTGACGTCGGCCGGCAAATCCCTGGGGTTCTGCGACGAGTAAAATTCCCAGAACCATGGCATATCCCACTGGATAAATCGTTTCCAGAACCAGTTGTCCTGGGTGACAACCTGAATGCTCAGTGATGCCTGAGTCAAGGCCTTGAGCGAATCACCGGGCAGGTATGAGCAGATCTGATACACGAGTTCGAGCGGGAGCTTGCCGAAGGGGCTGGCAGGCGAGCGGCCCTTGAGATCGAATTGCGAGAAGGACTTTTTGAATTTGCCGTCCGTCGCCATGTTGGTTTTGAGGAAATCAGCCAAACCAGATGTCTCAGTTGGATGAGTCGCGCAGTACTGCAACTGGTCAGTATGAGAAGAACACGACTTGGTCATGGCTGCTTGCCTCTGCGCCAGGGATGCACTCCCAGTACCGGCCTTGCGCCCGCCGAATGTCGTCGCCATAGTTCAGTCGCAAAGTGGAGGAGGATTCGTTGGACAACTCTGTCATAACGTTGTACAGTATTCTCATGTCGATTGCTGAGCTATCGGTAGAGCCGGTGAGGACGCGAGTCAGGATCTCAAAAAAGCAGCACCCATGAAATGGGAGGACCGGTCCGGGGGTGTCGTCGGTCCCGGAGCCATAGCTTCATCACATTAGAATAAATCCTTTCCAGTTCGATGGATAGGGTGGTCAAACCAGGTATAAACATTCCGGTCTTGACCCGGTACAGCGTCAGTTCCAGACTTGATGGCAATCTCTCCCTGCAATGATCTGTGAGCCTGCTGAATCGTCGATAAAACCTTGGCTGGTGGAGCATACAGCGTCTGCATAATAACCCGGTCCGGAGACAAATGTCCTTGATAATAGTCAGATAAACCGCCTTGATCGATGCAAAAGGCGATCATCAGGCACTCACTTTCCCTTTCCCGAGGCGGCCTGAGGGTTGAATCCGAGGCAGTATGCCTTATAAAGCCATGCTACGTTCTCCCAGCCAACAATCTTGGGGTCGTAACTGCGAACGGGCTCTTCACCGTCCTGGGGGACCTGGTCGATAGGCTGACCCGCTTGGAGGGCCTGAGATCTCTTCTCAATCCACCGTCTCCGACGCTCGGTTCCTGTTTCTGAGGGAGTTTCGATGAGCATTCCACAAAAGCCGACGCCGCAGATGGCGCAGTAGCAGTCGTAGGCCATGGCGACTACTTAGATCGAGTTCCCCGCGTATCCACGGGGGGAGAGTATCAAGTGGAGATGCAATTGAGGGAGGAGGGTTGAGAGTTTGACGGGGGATGAGTGCTCTATCTCTACTCTCGACACAGGGTGGAATGGATAAATATCATCGACCACCGCGGATTGACATTTATTAACTCCGTACTATCGTACCATATGGAGCCATCTGGCCTCGGTGGTCACGCACGCACACATGGAAAATTCGAAAAGTTTTCGGTTGGCGATCCGTTCCATCGACCAAATCCAACAATAATTGGATCGATACCCACAATACCCACAAGCCGAAGCAATTGACCCGCAGGAAGCAATGGCGTTCTGCCAGTTTGCCCCTGATAGGAATCCATTATCCACCGGGATGAGCTGTCATTCGTTGTCTTGATGAACTGCTATCTGTTAGCTGTTGTTTAGTGTCTCAGCTGACCTGACAAGTTTTCTGGCTAAGACTGTCTATCCCCGTACACCGCTAAGAGATTGAAATCGCTAAGAGAGCCAGAGGCAATCCCGAGTCCCGAGGAACTTCCTTTTGCCCCTTTTTCTTTTACCTAACACTTCCAGACAAAGCTCCAGAGGCGATAACTTGATAACCGGCCTTCTCGCTGTCTCCTGATTATTTGATGCTTAATCTAAAAATAGTTGTCTTTACGAGGTCAGCTACTCTCGATATTATTTAGGATGGCTAGTTGGGGTCACTTGACCACCGGAAAAGGGCCTATATTAGTATCGAGTAGTGCATCCGTCGTTTAATTAAGGAGAAACGTGTCTAGACCGACACAACAGTACTTTTGCTGTCCTTCTCTCTTTCTGACTTCCTTCTAGACTGCAACGAAAATCCTTTATTCCGTCTCCCCGGCACCGACACCGGGCACCTGGGAAGCGGCACGGATTACTAATCAATCAAGTCATGGTCCGCAGGTGGCTGAGAGTGTGTAACACGGGAGCTTTGCATGCATATCTATTAGGTTCTTGTGCTTTGACTCCAGTAGATAGGAATCACTCTCATGAATTCTCTGGCACCGCGGAGACTTGTAGACAATGCAGAGTGGAGAGCTCTTTGACCTGCTTATAGCGATCTGCAGCTGCATCCCCATCGCAAAATATCGGTCAGACGGGAGTTACAAACTTTTTCTTGTCGGGCTCCAGATCGTGAGAGATCGAATCAACGTGATTGGTGCAGTCTGTGGGCTGTTCCTGTCTGGGCTTTTATTACGATTGGCTGCAATCCTTCCAGAATTGTTCCTGGTGGCCCACTCAACCAATAGAATTCAAGCAAAGACCAAGGGACACAGAATGAAGAATCCATGAATAATGAGATTAAAGATGAGACAAAAGAGAGCTGAAAGATATTATTGCATATCACTGAGATACTGATAAGTTGTCCTCGATTTGCGTTATTCGAAAGCTATGCAGATTCTCGAACTAACCCAACAGTGCCAACACACAGTAACCTGAAGTGTGATGAGATATATAGGTACTCTCACTGCAGTCAGTATGGAGAGCCCTAATGCAAGTGACTTACAGCGCAAGGGATCAACCCTATGCAGAACCGCACAGTCGACCAGCAAGCAAGGCCAAGCTCTGGCTTAGGAAAGCATGAGAGTCAGTTCACCCTGGCCCATAGCTCTCCGAACGCTTTTCTTTTTTGGAATGGCTGTCTGAGCAGTTTTTAGCCTTTTTTGACGATCTTCAAGTCAATCCCAGCAATGATGCTTCAACATCTTGATTATTTTGGGTCTGGCACTTGTAAACTCCTATAACATGTCTTAGAGTGCAGTATAGCTGGATCTCAGATGACGCAGTCATGGAGAATGTGAGGGAGGAGATGCATGACTGCCTATGTGCAAGCTAGAATTTCTCTGGCACGCCGGACATATTAACGTCAAGGATCACAGCCTTTGGGAAGAGAATTTATATCTTTTCTTTCTTCATCTAGCATTAAAGTGCTTCTTCACCATGATACTCGCCCATACTGACAACAATCCTCGTACATCATACATTGATATGTTTCGTAGATTGCATATGGATATCTACTGGTATACTCTCTCGCTCACCCTGTAGACACATTAATAATCATATACTAAATGCTACTGCAAGCTGTCATGAAATAAGGACTTTAGGCCTTGTGTATGCTGCCTTATTTATTACTCATAAGTAATCAGGTAGATTAGTTCGATCATTTCAAGTAAACAAGTTAAGCATGTCCTCTCCGTCGGTTGTCGCGCATTCAAGACCGGCCCAACTTAGGGCTGATGAGAGAGAATGAGGCATGTAGCACGGCATCTGCCATGGGCAACTAAAAAGGGCTGGACTAAGCAGTCTAGTTCCAGTTCGCACCTGAACTATTGAATGTCAGTCAAATTCAAGCTTTGCGGACCTAAAGACAAGACTGGGCTGCTTATTGTGGAGAGAAGCTTATTAACCATCCTACAAGGACCTCGAGACCTCTGTGCTCATCTTTGCTCAGTAAAATAGAGATTTTCATATGTGCGTCATCCTCGTTGTTAAGAACTCTTCTGTGAGTCATCTGAACATCAATTTGTCATCCACTTTAGGAACTTAACCCTTTGATTCCCAAGAATATGATACAGACCAGGCATAATATCAATATGATTGTCTCGATGATGCGGTTCTATTTGTCCGACCTTGTAAGACCTCTTTGACTCATACTGGCTCATACTGTCAGGGACAAAACTAAGGTAGAGCTGCGCTTACGTCAACCAGCACGCCTGATCTCGTTGTACTATATAGCATCTAGAGAATATTACAGACAAAGGAGTTCTAAATATCAGATAGCTTTGTACTCCAGGTCCTGCTAGTTAAAAGACTGGCATATCTTGATTTCAGCCTTCTGATTGTTGACCTTTTCATCATCGCATCATGCCTTTAGGATTTCCTAATTTTCGCAACATCTCAGACGATGACCAGGTGCAGATGATATATAAACAGAGACAGGAAAAGGAGCGGGCGAGAGCCTCTCTTTTGCAAAACGAGACAGCCTCGATAACCAGTGACAAGACGCTCTGCCAGCCCGATCAGCAAAAGCGATCAACATCAGTATTCTCCTCAATCAAGACAGGTGAGAGCTTCTGTAGCATGTCAGAGAGAGTTGGTGGACTGAATACATGCTAGCTATGATGCATATTGGCCCAAAGCAAGAGCCTTGAGCACATCTCACCTGCGAAATCTATCGTGGCTTTGTCCTACTGGCAGGCAGCACTCATATTCCCCTCTGGTATACGACCGTTGAATCTAAAAATGGGGAAGACACACAGTGAATCTGATCAATAAGAAAGAGGCGGACAGCAGAAGGCAAGAAATGCGAAGCCGGGTTGAGAGAGGGATAAAGTTCATAAGTAATGGAGGACTATTTGAAGCTGGTCTCTAGCGAAGGAAATACAGACTGAACTACTCTAGTAAATACTGAATTCAGTCAATATCTATGCGTTCTAATTATGAATTAGAAGTAAATGCCCCTAGAGAACTTTAAAAGTCATCTAGTACTAAACGATCACTATTCCAGATAACCAACTATACCTATCGAGCATAATGAGTAGGGTTGGTCCATGGTTACGTGTATCTGCATGGACAAAGTCCAGAGATAGTACTGTTTATTTCATTCATGTTATAGCAAAAATCTACCTAACTGCCTAACCATACTATTTGCCTAATAGCACAACGCAGTGTTAGTTGAACATAACCCAAACCACAACCTACCTATTTGGTACTTTCAGCCATGATTGCTTCCTGAGCAAGTTCCCACTCCTTCCTCGCACTGGCATCGCCAAATAACTCGTCGATTTCTTCGAGGGCCTTCCCACTTGTTTCGGGAACCAGGAAAAACGCCCAGACACCTGCCAGCGAGCACATCACGGCAAAGAAGATGTAGGTTCGGTAGCCAATATCAGCCAGCATGGAAGGTGTGACAGTGCCAACGATGAAATCTGACAGCCAAATAGTGCATGTGGCGAGAGCGACACCTTTGGATCGAGACGTGGTCGAGAAAACCTCCGATGGGAGGGCCCAACCTAGTGGTGAATAGGTGACTCCGTAAATGAGGATAAAGATGAACGCCATGGCAACGCAGCCCCAGCCGGCGGCCGTGTGCGAGGCCCATGCATTTGAGTAAAGACCCGAAAGGACAGCGATGATGATATAGGCCACTGCAGTACCAAAGCCACCGAAGATGGCAAGGGGGCGCCGGCCTACCTTTTCGATGACGAGGAAACAGACAATGGCTGCAATGAGTTGGAGAACGTTGAAGACACCAGAGAGAATGAGCGATGTCTCTGCCGTCTGGCCAAGTGATTCAAACAGCGTTGGCGCGTAGTAGATGAAAGCGTTGATTCCTGAGAACTGCTGGAAGAAAGCGACACCCATGCCAACGGCGGTGCGTTTCCACATTTTCCGGGTGAAGAGATCCATCCAGGAGAGAACTTCGAGCTTAATACCGGATGCACCAGGGTGCTTTTTGGCCAAGACGGCCTTTTGGAAATTGAGCTCGGCCATAATTTGCTGATATTCGAATTGGACTCTTTCATCGCTGCTTGGGAGACCTCTCAATTTACACAAGCTAGACATGCAGGCATCCTGGCGGTTGACCAAGGCAAGCCACCGAGGAGAGTACGGGAAGAAGTGAATGCCAGCGCCGAGTATGGTCGCGGTCACCATCTGCAGACCAAAGGGGAGTCGGAAACAGGCTTCGGTGGCCAAGTGTCTGGTGCCGTAAGTGATGTAAAAGGCAATGACGACTCCCAGGGTGATGGAGATGGATTCGAGGACGAGAAGCGTGCCTCGCATGTGGGGTGGAGAGACTTCGGAGATATAGAGCGGCGCACCCTATGATTTTACCCATTAATCTTGGTGGAAACATTGAAGATTGAGTGGAACGTATACCATTGCCAATGTACCAACCCCAATGCCTCCGATAAAGCGTCCCGCGACAAGCATGTCGTAGTTGGCTGCGGCCG